CATCTAGTCCAGTAGAAGTGTCATGGCACTTACTAAGGGACTCTTTCAATTCATTAATGCTAAATGGTATATTGTAATTTTCTTTATTGTCAGAAATATAATAATAGCTTTTCTTTTTCAGCCCTAGATTTAAAATTTTGAAATATAGGGGAATAATATTCTGTTGAATTATTTTCAAATTTTTTGGTTAATAAGTTACTTATATCTATTATTTCTGTGCATTTCATTTATTCAGGTGCTTATTAGTATTTATTGGTTTTTCCATTTATTTTTCTTATCATATTGCACACTTTCTTCATTGGGGTTTTAATACATATTTTTCATGATTCTCTTTTACTTGTTTTACTAATGTATCATGCTTTTGCATGGGCTTGATAGTTTTGTAGGTTAATTCTCTTCTTTAGTTTTAGTTTATTGGAGTCAATGAAAATGGTGGTTACTCCCATATTGATCTTCATGAACTTTCCATTTGAAATCCATGAATGTTGAGTGGAGGGGGAAAATTGATAGATCTATGGCTGACATAGAAGCAGAAGCTGGATGGAGTTAAGTATAGTAATCATCATTCAATAAACATAAATCATAAGTTTGCATTAGGTTTTCAATGATATGACCAATTGGGTTAGAGTTTATGCAACCCCAAATTTGCTAATAAAGTCTCTGACCAATAAAAGGAATGAGTAATTGGTTAATCAGTCTATTAATTTTGGTTTGTTCTAATTTTATCTTGAAGGAATATATAGTGAGCATATGGTTATGAAGAGTGGTTTTAATAGCTATGGCATTGTAAATTTGTGTTCAAGTATAGATTGTACCTCTCAATACTGGTAATATCCACTTAACCAATTTATGTGGATATTACCAGTATTTTTTACCATCAATTGGTCTATGATTGATGGCTGACCTGTACACATTTTTTTTTTTTATAAGTTTTATATTCTTTAAGTTATCAGATTCTTTTTACATTGTTTCTTGTAAGCAGACTATATTTGGCTTATAGTCTGTCATCAGTCATTTCTTCAAAATTTTCTCTAATTCTCTTAATTACAAAATAGTTTCTCTATGAGCCATGTTTATTCTGTTTTAGCTTTGTCAATGGAGGAACATCCTGTTTCAATCCTAGATTTATTTTCATAATTATCAATGTCCATATGTTTCATTTACTTCTAGGTTCATGTTTTTGGTACTGAGTTTTCTCCTGGTTGCTATTTAAATCATGTTTAGTGTTTTGTTTATTTTAAAATTTTTCTGTTTTTCATTTTTGCTGTCATTATTTAGTTGGGATTTAGATCTTGGAGTTTCTTCTAATGATTCAAGTACAATAAATTCATAAAATGTTTCATTAACCTGTTTCACTGTTTGAACTTGTTTTTAGATGGGGTCTTAATTTTTGATGCCATGAAACTTTAAATCAAAGTTTCATCATTCCTGTGGCATGGAGATCTTTGAAGGGAGATGCTTTGGTGAGGAACCCATTTGCTCAAACATCTCAAGGATACAAGAATAGTATACTCACATTAAGAAGTTATTGCAAAGATATTAGGTCTTCCATTTCTCTACCCCAATTAGGTGAAACATCAGAGTCTAATGTTGATACTGACATTTTAACTCACTGATTGACTCTTGCCACTGCCTTCTAATACTTGTGTTTTTACTTATATGTTTGAGTATATGTTTATTTGTTAGGTTATGTGATGGAGTGTATGACTTTGGATTGGAAATGTTACCAAGTGTTTTGGTGTAAGTATTAGAGCTTGACATGACGAACCGATTGGGCCTCTCTATTTGACTGTCTAGCCCAAGTAAGGAACAAAGTGGACTGTTGCAGCCAATGACCTCTCAATACCCAGGATCATCAACTGTTCAGACACCAAGATCCTGTCCATAGGCATCATGAATTGCCACTCATGGCAAACAAGTGATCTCATCTGGGAGAAGAGATCTTACCTCTCTGCAGAGGTGCAACCTGTGTATTCTCTGCCTCAACCAGATAGGCACATGGCTACCAAGGAAATATACCCAAGAAGTATATTGTGTTGTTGAGCTGACAAGCTTTTTCATCTTGAAATATATTGAAGAATGCCATTTAATTGGACACCTACTAACTCACCAACTGGTCATAGATAGATCACAACACCACAGAATTGGGAAGGGTTAAACTGATAACTGTAACTCTTGACAAATGAAGCTTGTTATTTTTGCAAGCAAGAGTTGGTTGTCTATCTTGAAAGTTGTTTCCTTGTTTATTTTTCTTATATTAACTTATCCTTTGTTTCTGAGGGCATTTAAACAAGCTTCATCTAAGATCTTCTCAACAAAAACAACTTGAGTGGGGAAAATCAATTGGCAGACTGAGCCCCCAGCCTCAGAAGTTCAGAGTGTGATCATGTTAAAAATTTTAAAGTATTAGAATGAAGTAAAAAGATGTTTATTACCAAATAAAGTCTTATTTAGAAATAAAATTTGAAAAAGAAAAAGAAAGCCAAGCTTTTGCAAAACCAAAAATTCAAACACAGATTATTTTGATAAATGCAAGTTTCATATGAAAAATTAATGTGACACTTGATTGATTATGCTGGTTTCTAAATATTTTCACCAGAGAAACTGAATTACTGGGAAGCACCTTTGTTAAGGTACTTTAGAAATTTGTTCCAGTTTGTTTGGACCAAGAACAGCAGAGGAAAGAGAATAATTTTGAAACATGAAAGATTATTATCAATTCTTCCATAACAAAAACATACAGCCCTGAAATCTCTAAATAAAGCTCCTTGTTGGGAAAATTAAAGTACTTCTGAATCTCTCAGAGAATTTTTTTTATTTTCACCAATGTTTCAAAATGTCTAAAGGTATCTGGTTTTTGACTTGAGGCCTCTTTATTCTGAGCTCTGATAATTCATTTTAAATTTCACCTATTGCAGGAAAAGGTTTTTGGAAAATGCTGAATGACAAATTATTTTTCGTCAGGATTTCTTGATTAACTATGGTAGATAACCAGGACATAAATACAATCCCAACTTGTTGGGTAATGGCAAGACAGAGTTAAGCCAATGAAAGTACAAAATAGCAACATGAAGATTGGATACTGGAATTACTTGCTAAACTTGCATGGCAAGTGATCAACTGAAATATTAAAAATAAAAATCATTAATCAGGAAAATAAACTCCAGATTTTAGCTGCCCACCTACTGGGAGTTCCTAACATGAATCTCTCAATTTTTGTTCCTCTGGAGTCAGAACTGAGGAAATGTGAAAATGCTAATGTTCTGCTTGATAACCCCTTGACCAATCTCTGCAAGATTATGGTATAGGCTAAAGAATTGTGAAGAACTAAGAAATTCTAACTTCAGAATTTCCAACCAAAATATTTGGTATCTACTTTTATTTGAAGGCCCAACATCTCTGTTCTCTGTCTACACCAAGTTCAGTTTCTTTCACCACTACAACTTGCTCATTCTTCTGAGAAAGTTAACTGAATGACTATAGCTTAAGACAACACTTCAAATGGGAAAAGGTTAATTCAACATTGCAACTGACTGAACAAAGACAGTAGTTAGGCATTTTTCATCATTTTAAATCATCAGTTTTTTCTTTATGTCTAAGTACACTCATCTCAACTGGCGTTTCAACAATTTTTGTTATATTAAGTAGTGAGTCATTCAAAACCAATGTCCAGTAGGATCCTGTTGCTTAACTTATGTAGAATACACACTTTCAAGAGACTAATATAACCAAGCTATTGCCCATAATTTTCAATGCTTGATTTGGATATTTTGAGTATATTGGCTATCTCCCATGTTGAATATCATTGAATAATAATCTCAACTGGTCTGCCTATGAAGAAACAGCTAAAGAATAATCTCCAGCATAAAACTTTCCAACCCACATTTGACACATTTACCTTTTCCATAAACTGCACAAATCCTTTTTTGCATTTCAGTTGCATTTTCACCTATTTTAAATGATAAACCATAATGTCAAATATGCTGCTTATTTCTTTCATCTTCAATGTCAGAATAAATTTTTAAGAATTCATCAGTTTTTACTATTTTTAAATGCGCACTGATATGACTGCTGTTATAATACAATGAGAAATGATCTTTTTGAATGAAATTAAATCTAAATGTTCATAATGTCCTCTAACGATAAAAACAGAGCCAACTTAAGTTCCTATTCAGAGAAATGAAAGGAAAAAGTTTAACCTATATTCTCCTGCTATCATTTTAAACTGCATATCCTCCTCATACATTATGAATTTTTTGCTTAAAAGTTTTTTTCCTTGATTTCAGATGAAAACTTGGATATTTTCCAACATATTTACGAAATCCTCATTTTTCAGAATTATAGTTTATAATTATATTTTAGATATATGAAAAACGGGTATAAAAAGGTATATGTTGAAATAGAATAAACCTGTTGAAAAACAGCAAACATTTGTTCATGGGATTAAATATGAAAGATAAGAAAGTACTACAATTTCTAAAAACTTTTCAAAGAAAAAGTTGAATTCAGAATAATGATCATAATAGCTGAGATTTTTTATTATATTGAAAACTGATGAACAAGAAAACAATGACAGTGCCATCAGTCACATTATAAATAGGAAGATAAAGCCTGAAATTAAATTACATGAACTGAAAGATATTTTACAATATCTACTTTGTAAATAGACAGTGTTGAAATTCTTACAAAATTTATTAATTTAAAAATGAGGATTCACTATATCTTGTGTATCATGAGTAGAAAGAAAAGAGAACCTGCACACAGGATTTTTAACACTGAACATATATTTAAATCCTTTTCAGTAACAAAATATTTGTGAATTTTATCTCTGTTTTATTAAATCTCAATACATTGTTTCAAGATTTTTTTTCATTGTATATCTCTATTAAAACTTTCTAACAATTGCTGTCATTTTTGATGGCACAAATACACTAGTAATAATATAAACAAATGTGTCACAATAAAGCTCTAAAATTTAGGATATTTTGAAAGGAACAAACCTGCTCTGCCTTTTCTTTGTTCAGCACTGGCTTGGCTGATCCAAAATTCTCGAAGACATTGCATTTTAAGTTTTGGGTCAAAATTCATTTCTTTAACCTAAAATAAACAAAGAGAAAATTATATTTGTACATTAGAATTAAAAATTAAATTTACATTCTTTATGAAGGGTTAGTTTTTACTAACTGAAATTTCAGAATACAAATAATTAAGTGATCAAAATTTACAAATCAAAAAATCATTTTAACCATATTGACTAACTTCTAAATGATCTTTTATTTTAATGTCCTTTAAATTTCATGTTATTTTTAGGAATGCATGAAGTCAGAAAGGTAAAAATCAAATATAATACCGTCTACTTCTTCAGAGTCCATGTTGCTGTAGTGCCAATAGCAAGTGAACATTTATTGGATTGAGGAGCTAGACAGATGCTCAAGATGGATTGTCTTACAGGGCTAAATGATCCAACTGTCCTCCATCCAGTTGGAGCAGTAGACTAATATTTTTTTTTAAGGGCATTAATGCAAAGTAAACATAAACTGTCTCAGAGTTTGAACTTGGCTCACCAATACTATTTTTTATGTCATTAACCTTTTTGCTCACCTTCATCTTGGTGGGTACATTACCAAGATATGAAATGAAAAGATTAACAGATACATTATAGTCTGTAATCAACAAATCATATTTGTTCAATGTTCCCAATTTTGATTATACATAAATACAAACCCTCCAAGTGAAACGGATATTTTATAATTCTATAAATTATGATAACTGTAGTGGGAATGAAGTGCAGACAGAGCAGCTAGTCACTATTGATAACAATACTCGCCCCTGTCAGTCAAAGAGATGACGTTTAGTGTGCTGTCTCTGCAGAAAAACAGCACATGACTGCCATGCCAGAACAGAGCCAGCACAAACCCTGGAACATGAACTGGTTAGCAAGAAAGAAAGTGTTTATCAGCTTCTCCCATGATAGTTGGGATGGTGAGATATGTAAATGATTCCTTTGCTAGCCAATTGTTAAAGTTTTAGGCTCTATAAAAGTGTGCACATTTTCTGAAGAGGCAGTTTGCCATGTTGACTGTGTAATGGGATTGCAGTATGTTAGCCAGCATCATTTGAAAGTACAGGTTTGTATTTCCAGTGTCTCAGCTGTGTTCTTCTCATATATGTGGTGTTCCAGTGTGGAAGTCTTGTTTGTGCCCTGACTGTTGTGATCCAGTGTTTGATTCCAGTGCTGCTGATTTTTTCCAGACATCTTTGTTGGCAGATATCCAACCAATAAAAAGAAAATCTACAATCTTGATAGTCATATATACACTGCGCGTATGTCCCATCAGGGAATGGCATAATCGAGCGATGTCATTGGAGCATCAAAAGAATCGCTGCTAGGAAGCAGTGTTCCATAATGGAGGCGGTGTATTGGTACAATGTTACTCCGAGAAACAATGTATTGCCTCTAAGTGTCCGGGAAATGGAATGGGGGATGCGACGTCAGCGCCAGTCTCTTCCCCGCACCGAGCATGAAAGAGGCGCTCCCTGTGATTAAGGTACGCATCAATGGAATAACACGTACCGCTTTAATAGATTCAGGCTGCTCTCGGTCACTCACAAATGGTTCGATTTGCCGACAGTGGAGCAGACAAAAGATGGACGTACTAACGGCTGATGGAAAGCTCCACATAGCCGGTGTACAACCCGGTACCGGGTGGGGCATGTCACTGGACTAAGTAACTCGCACTCTGTGCTGGTTGATGGCATACCAAGACACATAAAGGACTTGCGTCGCTATGTAGGTACAGATACGTCAACAAGTGACACTAGCAGTGAGTGCTCAGAAAGTGAACAAATAATTACCATTGGAGGTAGGGCTAGTACCTCTTCAGATGGTGAAGACTCTGTGCGTGAGGTTGTCAGACCAGAAGAATCTTCAGAACATTCTTCAGATGATGAAGACTCTGCATATGAGGTTGTCAGATCAGAAGAAACCTCAGAACATAACACACAATCTCCTCCAACAGTCGACCCGCTCCGGAGAAGCTTAAGAATAAAGAGGCCCGCCCATGAGTGTCACTTATGTGACGGGGGAGTGTAGTGAAAGAGATAATCAGGTACCTCGGAAAAAAGTTTGTGTTTTGTGCGTGATCTGCCGAAGAAGGAAAATTCGGGCATTTTTGGCTACGGCGTTTGTTGGGAGAGTAATCAGTGACAAATTTGCTTTGAGAACGCTTACACTTACAAATATTTTATTACACAAGTCAATTTTTTCATAATGAAATTGATATCAACCAAACCATACTGGATTAAAATTTCACTAGATATTTATATGATGGATATATCTATATTCTACTTATAATAAACTATTCTTATTAAAAATATTAGTGAGAACTTGTTTTGAGGATGTCAGGTTTTATTAAGTATTGTTGGGTCTGATGTCTTTTGTCTTTCTCTTTACAATACTCCATAGATTTTGTATGGGGGTTCAGGTCAAGCAAGTTGGCAGGCCAATCAAACACATTAACATCATGATCAACTAGTTTTGACATTGTTGGCATGTAACAAGTTCTGTTGGAAAAAGAAATCAGTATCTCCATAAAGATATAGGAAGTGCTCTAAAATGTCCTAGTAGATGGCTGCATTGACCTTGGATTTGATAAAACACAGTGGATCAACACAGCAGATGGCATGGTACCCCAAATCATATCTGTGAAAAATTTCACACTGGACTTTGAGCAACTTGGATTCTGTGATTTCTCTTTGAATTTATGTAATAATTTACATTATTTACATGCAAACTATTGTCCTCATCTTTGTTGTTATTATCACAGCTTGTGTGCTCCAGGCTTCATCAGGTGGCTTTTTGATCTTGGTAACCTTCAGGGAATTTTGAACCGAGTCCTTTATTTAAACTACCATGTCTAGATCTTATTTAGTGCTGCTCATTTATTGCTTACCTCATTTCTACCAAGTTCAAGTATGTACTGCCAGGAATTGAATTCACAAAATACACAAACTAACACTTTAATCCATTAAGCTATTGTCCCATGGGACAATATTTATGTGCAGAAATTGGGGCCTTAAAACTAATATGCTGATGAGACTGTTGCTGCGCTGCTGCTTGTCATGCTTGGTTGTTGTAAAGAAAAGACTGTCAACTGATCGTAGCAACTGCAATAGATTTCTTGTTTCTCGGTCGCAACACTTGTAGCCAAATCGCAGTTCACATGATTGTCCGACGTAACAGTCCAACACACACCGTAGAAACGACAAAATGGGGTCACAAATTCAACCTTCACTTCTCGCCAACAACAACGCGTGTTCGTTTCACAGCTCAGAAAAATCATCTTCTTTTATAAGCGAAAAACGACTTCTGTTCACCGAGATAATTTTCTGATTGGTCACGCCATTCAGGGGAGGGAAGAACATTAGCATATCTTCTAGTCATTGATGTAGATTTTTGCTGACTACTTTTTAGTCATTTTTCTTCAGCAGATCGCACACAAAACACAAACTTTTTTTCAGGGTACCTGATTATCTCTTTTACTACAATTAACAGAGGTTTCTCTTTTCTATGACTCTGCTACTGCTGGTGTTGAAGCCTTGCCATAATTTCTCTTTCTTTATTAATGGCTCCTATATTGTATTTATTTCTATGCTAGGTCTACCAAGGAGAGCCTCATATATTAGCATATGCTCTGATTTTTTCCGAAATCTGACTCTCCAGTGTTCTTCTCTGCCTAGTGTCTTTATTTCATTCTACAGGGGTTGATGACTACCTTTTTCTTTTTATAAATGATTATTGCTGCTAACATTATGGATATTATGGCTGATAATACCAGTGTTTTTGCTTAAAAAATACCAACTGGACTATATTCCTACATGCAATTCATGATTTAAATGTAAATATTCTATCTTTTAAACAAATTGTGATGCTGATGAAAAGTAGATACTTTGCTAGATGACAATATGGAACACAAGATGATTAGACAAATAAAATGAACCACCACAACAAAGAAGTAACACTGTGTGACATTTGAAGGGAGTCCTCATGAAAAATTTCAATATGCTTAGAGACTGCAAAAGGTATATAGATTTTAGAAAGATAAAAATTCTGGGAGTATGGCATTATGTAATTGTGAGAAAGATGGCAAAATGGTAAAAAATTTTTAAAAAATTGACTTTTACTTAATAAAATGAACAAACTTTTGATCAACCAAATATGAATTTTGTTACAAATTCACAACTTGAAAACATTTAAACATACTGATTTATACTAATATAAGAGGAATGTATGTTGTATGTGCAAACTGTTTGTATGTCATTAACTTTAAGCATAAAAGGTACATGAGAAAATTAATTAGTTTAAAATTAAAATAATACAATTGTTTTGTTAAAATTTCAAGTAAAATCAAAAAGGATAAGAAAAATATTAGATTTCTTCAGGTTCTATAAAAAAAAAAAAATAAATAAAACTAACAATTTCAAAACATTTATCAAATTTTCATATAAATTAAAATTTTCACTTACTTTTCCTGAGTCAATAATAAATCTAACACCATCAATAGTCACTGATGTTTCTGCAATATTTGTTGACACAATACATTTTCTGATACCATCTGGAGCAATATCAAATACCTGTGATTATAAACATTTACATTTGTATATTAAAAACTTAAATTACCTTACTTAAAACAAAATTGAAAAACATACAGGATTTGGAGAAATTGTATGACAAGGTGGAAAAGTTTACTTGTGACACATTTTGTCCTTCAGGACTTCAGACTTTGTTAAAAATTCAAAAAAATTAAACAAAACAAAACATTAAAATTGTTTAATTTTTTACAAAAAACTCTTCAATTTTGTTTTTACAGTGCAAAATTTATTTTAAAAAAGTGTTTACCATTAAAAACATAAAATAGGATAAGACATGATACTTTATACTACAAAATTAAGAATGTTGTTATATAAAGTTAATGTCATAATTCAATAAATTTAATCCAATATTTTTAGATATTGCATACCCTAAACCTACTGCAAAACCATGCATCTTTAAGAGTCAATTTTTTTCTATGTCTATAATCATAAAAATGTCTATGACAAAATAAGTCAGCATAATAATAGTTGCTTTATGTTATGAAATGAACTCTTTGGTATTTTGTATGTAAAATTATTGTATACAAAGGAACATACAATTTCTTTTATAAAATTTGCTAGATTTTGGGGAGGTGAATTATGTGATGAGACACCAATAGTGTCATTCAGCTCAGTTTCTTTTGTTGAATAAAGACTTTCTAAAGGTTATCGCTGTTTCATCTTCCTGCTGTTTTGAATTGCTTTTAAATTCATAACAATTTATTCAACAAAAGAGGGAAAAATTTAACATGTCCAAAATACTCAAACCATATTAAATTAACCTAGATCACAAGATACCTAATGAGATTTCTGTTAGGCATCAGCTTCAGACCAGAAGACAGAAGAGTCCCTTGAAATTGATACCAGTGAATGTTCAGAAGAGAGCCCCACAGGCACTAGCTCTGCCAAAAGTATCTTACCAGAGAAAGTGCCAATTTTGTGGTAACACAGCCATAATCAGAAAGTCTGTCCTGCTCATAGTGTCACATTTTAATTGTTGAAAAAAAAACAGACTCTTTTTGAAGGTTTGCCAATTTAATACCAAGTCATCTTAGAAGACAGCCATGATGTTTAGTTTTAAATCAAATTTGTGTAATCCTGAATATCTATCCCCCAAATCTCATGCAACTACAAGGATCACCATAAAAGGCAGACAGTTTACTGCTCTTATAGACTCTTGTAGTTCAGAAAACTTTATTAGTGAAGAAGCATTCAATGAAACTCCACCCCTGTTGGAAAAAAGTGTCTATGGCTCTTAAAACCATGGAAACCAACTATACTGGTGTTTGCATTACCAATATAGAAGTAGGCAACAGGAAATACGGAAAAGTAAAATTCAGGGTTTTGGATGTGTGGTAGTAATTCTCGGATACGAGTTTCAGAAGCTACACAAAAATGTAATCTCCATTTATGATGGGAACAAAGACAACTTAAGAGTTAGTTGAAAAAATGCACACTGTATTCTTACTGCAGCTAAGGTAAATATACCTTCATTATTTTCCAGTACACCTATAATGTCCACCTTGTTGCTACAAAATCCCAGTGTTTTAGTAGAGATGATCGGACATTGATTGAGTGGAAAATTTCCCAGTTACTCTCAAATATCATTGAACCCTGCTACTCACCATGGAGTGCCCAGTTGATTATTGTAAAGGACCTTACCAATAAGTGCAATAAGTGGCTCTGTGTAGATTATTCCCAAATGGTTAATCTATATACACAATTGGATGCCTACCCTATGCCTCAGATTAATGATATGATATGTCTGGCAAGGTACAAAGTATTTCTGATTTTTGACCTGAAGAGCGCCTACTATCAGATCCCAATAATTGAGGTGGATAAAAAGTTTACTGCCTCTGAGGCCAATAGGAAGCTATACTAGTTTTGTAGGTTGCCCTTTCATGTAACCAATAGGATTTCTGTTTCAAAGGGCAATGGATGAATTTGTCGAACAAGAGAACCTTATAGATACATATCTTTAGGTAGACAAAATCACCATGATCAGAATTGTCAGAGATTTCAACAAGTGGCACAAAAATGGGGTCTTACATTAAATGAATCAAAATCTGTAATATCTTCTGAATCTATTGAAATACTTGGGTATGATGTAAGCCAGATATTGACCACCTTTGCCCACTCCAGATGTTACTACCCTTATCAGATACTCTCTTGCTGAAGCGGACATTGGTTATGTTTTCATATTATTCCAAATGGATTCCTTTGTTTTCTAATAAAATCCATCTATTGATTAATACTAATTCTTTTCTGCTAAGTAAAGAAGCTTTGGGGACTTTTAATGAACTCAAAGAGGAATAATGTTCTGCAATGCTTAGCTCTGTTAATGAAAGTATTCCTTTTTTGGTAGAATGCAATGCCTCCGATGTTGCTGTGTCTGCAACTCTTAATTAAAATGGCCATCCCATTGGCTTCCTGTCATGTAATCTAAATAAGAGTGAATTAAACTACCCTTTAGTGGGAAAGGAGGCTACAGCTATCAGAAAGTGGTGACACTTACTGTTGTGCAATCACTTTACTATAACTAATCAACATTCCGCTGCATTCATGTTCAACTATAGAAAGCAAACAAAAGTTAAGAACAGCAAAATTCAGAGTTGGAGAGTATAGATGTCTGAATTTAGTTATTCAATCGCATAAAAACCTGGGCTATAGATGAATATTCCCGTTTCATGTCTGGATGTCAGTTCAGACCAAATTTTCAGCCTTTGCAGGTTCCCATCTTATGTTCATTATGATAGAGGTACATCCTTTATTAGCCAAGAATTAAAGTCCTATCTGACTCAGAAAGGAATAGCCACAAGCATGTCTACTCCATACCACTCAACAGGCAATACACAAGTTGAACGCTACAATGGACTTATTTGGAGAAATATTCACTTGGTGTTAAGAACATAGAATATGGATCTAAATACTACACCAGATATACAACATGCTTTTGAGGACTCGGGCAGTCCCAACGCACTCATTTCAACAGTGCCCCAGCATAATAATTCAGGATTAGTCTCTAATGATGGTATATCAGCCTCTAATCAATTTCAGGCTAGTCTCAAAGGTGGTAATGTTCTATGGAGGTTTTCAAAAATATGAAAGGCACCAACAAAGTACGAAGATTTTATTATGTGAGTAAAACATTCTTCTCCTTCTTGCAGGTGGGTAAAATTTTATGAAATGAACTCTTCTCTGGAGTTTTGTATGTAAACTTATTGTATGCAAATGAACATACATTTTCTTTTATAAATTCTGCTGTATTTTGGGAGAGGCGAATTATGTGATGAGACATTGATAGTGTCGTTCAGCTCAGTTTCTTTTGTTAAATGAAGCCTTTCTTAAGGTTATCGCTGTCTCGTCTTCCTACTGTTTTGAATTGCTTTAAAATTCATAACACTTTATTTCTAAACAATTAAATAAATAAGTTACTTTCATGTTTATTTTGTGTTATATCATATTTTCATTCCCGAATTCATATTCTTGATATTGTTTTTGTTTCATTAAAAATATTTTAACATGGATAATTAATTTAAATCTTAAAATGCATATAACATTTCAAATACCCTTGTTAATAGGGCAGGAAGTGAGGGATCTGAAGCTTTACCAAATTATATATTAATTATAATAAGACCTTAGTAAAGAAAAATATATGAAAATAAACTTTTCAAGCCAAATTAATTATGCTTTACTTTTTTCTTTGAATTTCTTAAGTCAACTACAGCAGTGAACTACTGCAAACCCAAGCAGAAACTAAAAGTATTTACTCCAAGTGGATCAATGAGATTGGAGATAGAGATCTCCAGTTCTGGATGTGAGTTGCACGATGCCTTAGCCTTTGGTAACCATGGCAAAAATAAAAATAATTATTTACCTTGTCTTGCTGATCCACAGATAAAGCACTGTGCAAAGGAAGGATAATCCATTTTTTCGTCTGTTGTGCATATTCATGAGCAGCTTCTATGATGGTCAAAATTTCTGTCATTCCACTAAGAAATATGAGAAGATCTCCACGATATTCACTGGGATACTAAAACAAATTAAAAATACATATCTTTTGAGTAAAATGTTCAGAAAGAAATGAACAGGAAGATACTGCTATGAAATATAAATAGAAAATATTCTGATCATATTTAATTGAGCATGCCAATTGCACCGATTAAAATATTCTGATGATCAAATTTTACTTCAACTATATTATAACTAATTAAAAATTATATTGAGGTATGATAAAACCAAATATTTCTATAGATAACAGTTAATATTATAAAGATTAGTGCAAGTTATTAAATGAATTGAAAATATTATTTGGATATAACTTTAAAAAAAATAAAATAAATAAAGGCTCTTTCTAACATTAAACTTAATAATCAGAAATGAAAAAGAATAATTTACATTGTAGACAAGTTTATCTGTCTTATTACAGCAGGATGCCAAAAGTTCATTTCCCCAAATCTGACCAAATGACCAAAAATCAGATTTTTGGAAGGGATTCAAAACTTATTGTATAGTGATTTTGCTGGAATATTTGTCTTTAAGAGCCCAACTCTGCAAGATGTTATATAATCATATCAATTAAATAATTATTTAATATTCATTTCCTATAAAGAAAATATTCCAAATATTGTAACCACTGTGTTCAAAAATCAAAAAAATCAAAAATATTATATCAGATTTGGACATATCTATGAAACTATGCATGCTATTTCAGGTAAGTGAAAGAAGAATCTTTCAAGAATGGTTAAACTTTGATATAATGGGAAACACCAATATGATTTATAAAGCATATTTTCTGGAGTGAGTGAGTGATCATTAAGATTAATCTACACGGTCTCATTTCTTAAACTCATATATACTGAGAAATGCAAAAACTTAAAGATTTAAGCCACGCTTAACTGTCAAATATTAGGATTAAGATGTAGTTTCAAAGTTGACTACTGATAATTGAAAGTGTTAATACACTTGAGAATAGTATATATTTTACATATATAATGCACAAATTTAACAAGAAATTGTAAGTTGATCTAAATAAACTTTAAGAAAATAAAGAAATTATAACATGATTGCATTGTGACAACTGTCATATCAACACACATTTTTAATTTTTCTTAAAATTGACATTTTTGTTTATTGATTTTTAATGATAGAAAAAAAACAAGCAGCATCTTCAATACATTATGCCATAGTTCTTTCAGAAAATTTAAAATGCAATGATGCTCTACAATCAGATAAACCAATTGAAATGATAGCCATCAAATACTACCAAGAATAGGCAACATTAAACATTTTTCCATTTTTTAAATAAATTGTGACTGTTGATGAAAAAAAGATACATTGCATTGTCCAACAAATCAGAGAAAGCAAAATAAATCACCACAAGATGTACCAAAAACTTAAATGTAATAAGAAGAATGTGTTTGGTGTTCAGCTAGCTGCAGAAATAGCCGAGAAAAATTTATCTGCTTGAGATGAAACAAGAGTTTGTTTTTGATTGGGCAGATGATAACAAAAAGAACACTCACTGAGTTGGCTTGTGGGTCCCTGGAGGAGAAAACTGTGAGACAGTAAGATTTAAATTTGTAGGAGGATTGTTTTTAATAGTTGTTGGAGTGTTGGTGACTATCAGTGTGATAAAGAGCCCACTGTAATAATTTTCATTTTCTACACAATAAATTGAAAAAAAAAAAACAAACTTAATTTTGAAAAGAATAAGAATTGTTTCTGCTTCAAACACATTTTCCTCCCTTATTGGTTATAATATGAAAATTACTATCTTAATATTATCTGTAATCTGTCTAAAGATATAAAAGCAAAGAAATTTTATAAACTTATATTTCAGCAGAGCACTCAGTATTGTCATTAGTTGTATGTATATAAGTAAAATAATTTACAAGTAGTTGATAAGGCTTGGAAATGTCTACATCTTTCAAAGAAAACAATGGAAATTTGAAAGTACACTTCTAAATATTACATTCTATTTAGTATCCTTCACGTCTGTTCTACTGGCAAATAAATTCAATTAATAATTTTTTTAACCTCCCAAAGTACAACTTATGTGGGTCATGTCATGAAAGGCATCTGGTTTACTACTAATTAACTGAATAAAATTGGATAAAGGTAAATTTCAATTCCCCGTAATGAATAGTATATAAATAATAAATATAAAAGCTCACTAGAGTTAAAATGAAAACAGCAATAATGAAATAAAAATGAAAAGTGTTCATTTGAATAATATCATATGAACTGCAGGAACAAAGGTATCTTTACCTTAAAGTCAATTGTCTGCATGATCTGAAGATAAGGAGAAGGGTCAATCTTTGAAAAAGTTTCATTTGGAGCTTCTATGGATATTGGATGATATTCAAGTTGAATTGGAAAAAGTCTTCCGGGTACCTACAAATCATTTCAAACATTCAAATACTGTTTTACATAATGTGTTAAGAAAAAAATACAAATGTAAAATTTTGTAGCTGAGAGGAAATTTTAACTTTTAATCACACAATTTTGTTTTAACACTAATTTTTTTTTTACAAATGATAGAAACAAAGTATATTTAAATTAAAATTCAGTAAAACAGTTGATAAAATATGATTCTAAACTGTGTGTATATATATATATATATATATATATATATATATATATATATAGTACAACAGTAGCTATTTTATCAAGTGATAACAATGTAACTGGAGAATAAAAAAACATTGCTACTCAAAATTATTTACTGCTCTCATATTAATATTATTGCCCTCATCTTTGTTGTTGTTATCACAATGTCAATCCAGGTAACCTACAGGGAATTTCAAACAAAACCCTTATTTAATCTATGGGGGTAGATTTTTCTCATTCCACTGCCCATGTCTAGGGATATCTAGTCTAGTTTTTATTTATCATCCCATTTCCACCGAGTCCAAATATACACTGTCCATCCTCGGGATTGAACTCACAATTACTATGTTACTAAATTTGTGGACACTAGACTATTGTCCTGTGGGACAATCCCGAGTGGAGAACTTGGAGCCTTAAGCCTAATTTGCCTGTTGATGCGTGCTGCTGCTTGTCACACTAGAGATTAAAGAGTTGGTTCATGAATTTGATGACATAGTAATTGTGAGTTCAATCCCTGGGCTGGGTAGTGTGTACTTGTACTCACTGGAAACAAGGCAAGCAATAACTGAGCAGTAGTAAATAAGAAGTAGATGAGATATCCCTAGATATGGTCAGTGGAACAAAAACAATCTACCCCTGTAGATTAAATAAAGGGTTCAGTTCAAAATTTCCTGTAGGTTACTTGGATTGACTTACACGTGATGAAGGCTGGAGGGCACAACAGCCAAAATGTTGTGATAATCACAACAAAGATGAGGACAATAGTCTACATGTAAATAATGATAACTCCTCATTCCAGAAATTCAAACAGAAACTACTCAAAATGTTTATCATACCTTCAACAAAAAGCTCAGAAAAACATATGTGGGAGAAAAAACTCAGGCTATTGTATAAATTTGACCAAATAGTTATAAAAAGAAACAGAATAAATTTATTCTATGAGAAAAGAAAAATATAAGAGCTGTATTTCCTCAGTTATTTAATTCTCATTTATTTCATGGGCTTTCTTTGTTCACGTCACCAATTTCAATAGGATACTAATGGTTATACTGTTTTTCAAAGAACAATATCCATACAGATGATGCTTCAGATGATTAACTCATGATTAAAAGTATCAGCTCAATAAAATGAAAAGAATTGTTATTGAACAACTTAAAAAAAAAAGCCACAGTAATTAACAAATGTGCTTTCTTGTGGAGCCATGATAGTCACTCTTCAGTAACCATAAGCATAATAGATACTGAATAAATTTTATTATATCTTGTGATTATTGACAATGTAAACAGCTATGTATATCATGACAGGTCTCTCTATATAGACACTATGTGACAGTTTTCCATATATAGACACTATGTGACAGTTGGGGAATGAGGCAATAAAACAATCTAACATCTTTCATCAGTTTTAACAACCTATTAGCATTACTGTCAAAAATTCATTTTTTATTTAAAACAAATGATAATGATTGAGTAAAGCAAATTTCACTTATCAAAAATAAATAATTTTGAATAGTAGTTTAAATGATTTTTTTCATTATGCCATAAAATTGTTGGTTTTGCAAAATATTAAACAGTGACTACAAGTACTAATAACAGATTCCTTATATATATATATATATATATATATATATATATAAATATATATATATATATATACAGATTCCTTATATAAATATATATATATATATATACTAATAACAGATTTATATATATATATATATATATATATATATATATATATATTAGTGTAATATAGAAAATATAATGTGAAACTATTTCAACTAGCTATAACCACACCTTGGAAAATCCTTGTTGGTTATAGTATAGACTATTTAATTATATCAATGTTAAAGAAATTAAGATAGTAATCTGCTTACCTTCACAACTGGAGCATTATCAAAGTATGAGCTGAATAAGTCAATATTGATAGTGGCTGACATAAGAACAACTTTCAAGTCTTCACGTTGTTTTAAAAGACATTTTAAAATTCCTAATAAAACATCTGTATATATGTGTCTTTCATGAACCTAAAAAGAAATATACAAATAAATTTTAACCACACAAAACAAATTTAATATCATTTCAAATAAACAAAAAACATTTTACTTTTTACATATACACTTCAAATTAATTTCCTTTTGAAATGTGACATTTAATCTAAATAAATTTTAACCCAGAATTTTTAGTTATAGTGCCAACTTCAAAAAATTGTTTTTTGTTTGTTCTGGTAACCATTCAACTGATAAATTTGCTCAAACCGCTCTGTATTCTTCCAATCACCACACTTAAATTGTATTTACTTTCATTTTAATCTCTTAGTTGTTTCAATCTACAGCAGCGAATAGACAGCATGGATCAGGAATAAAAGATCTTGGGAAGATGAGATCCACATTCTTTTTTGCCTCAAATTAACCTGATGAATACCCAGCTACTTTAACTTATAAGCTACAAGAAACTGATGGCTTTACAGAAGATCAAATCTAACCCGAGTAAAGTTGCAATAAATAACAACTAAAAATTTAAAATGAAAGTAAATACTAGACAAAATCAGTAGTCATGGATGACAATGTTTCATCTAATAACAATTTCTTTTCAATTAAAAAAAAAAAATTAAAAATATAGCATTTAAAGTTTGAAAATTTCTCCTTGTGTTTATCATCCAATTATTCTCCAAACAAAGATTTATTTATTCACCTATTATTTGTCATGGTACAATCTGATATCGGTAATCTGATTGTTCAGCTTTTAATGACAATAGCATTAACAGATTTATATCAATATAAAAAGAACAGACAGATTTTTATTCTTTACTTGTATAAATATAAAGTGTAAAATTTTGATGAAGTAATTTTGGCAATAATTACTTATTAGCTGCAAAAATAATATCAAAACTAAGAATATATCGGATAAGATTAACTTGATTAAAAGATAGTTTTTGATCAAAGAGATTATAATCTCTTCATGTAAGTTATAATAAGCATCTTAAATTGAATGTCAGATTTTCCAAACTAGGACAAATTTTAGAATCTGCTTCCAAAATTCAAAGATTTTAAATAAATTCAGCCACGTAAAAAGATAAATAATGTGGTTCCATCTTGCAGGTGAGAGTTTTGGTTGGTTGAAAATGTTAACGGTTTGCTTCATTAATTTAGTTCAACATTGTGAGTTGCCAGGATTGTCATATGGATACAAAATGAATTCAGTAAATGCACAAAAATAGAAAAATGTGTAAGACAAGGATGTGTTTTCTCATCAGACTTATTCAACCTTTACAGCAAGGTGAACCTAAGAGAACAAGAAGTCCCACCATGATTTATTATTGGCAGACAGAATCTTAACATAAGATATGCATATGTCACAGTGTTGGTCACAGATGCAGAAAGAAAACTGTAGGAACCCCTACAGAAGGTAGTAAAGGAAAATAGGAAGAAAGGACTAAACATCAATTGCAAGAAGACAGATGTATGCTTGTCAATAAGAGGAATAGCCTAAAATGTGAGATATGAATTAGAGATGCCAAAATTAAGCAAGTATGAAAATTTAAATATCTTGGAAGTATTTTTACAGAGGACAGGACATGAGATATTGAAATCCAAAGGTGCATTAGAATTATGAAAGATGCCTTATAAAAGCTAGGCAAAGTATTAAGAAACAGGAAAATTTCATTAGAAAAAAGTAAAGAATGCTAAACTGTTATGTAATATCAGTCCTCATATATGGCAGTGAGACAAAAGAGGTATGTGTTTCAACAGAAGAATGCCAAAAATATCATGGACTGAACATGTGAGTAGTGAGGAATTGTTAAGGATAATGGAAACAAAAAGACTGCTTATACTTAGAATCAGAAAGAGACAGTTGAATTTTCTATGACACATAATCAAGTAAGAAGGTTTGGAGAATTTAACACTCATGGGACATATTGAAGGACAGAAGGAAACCATGAGTAACCTAACTGACAAGCTTATATAACTAGATGTTAGAACGGGGAGCGGGAGGGATAGTGACAAGAAACCTTATTAAGAGCAACAAAGCATAGAAAGTGGTGGAGTACCATGAAGAGACATGGCACAGAGAAGAATTCAGTTCACCTCATGCAATAATTAGTCTTCCAGTTGACTGTATAATTTAAGCTAAATCAGTATTTTAGATTTTTTGGAATTTCATACTAATATGATATGGAATGGAGGAATTCTGAAAGACTAGATACATTATATTTATATTCTTTACATCATATTTAGATAAAATGTTTTCAGGAAAAAAAAAAGAGTAGTGAATCTTACCTCATCCAAAACAACAACATCATATTGGTGAAGATAAATATCATTAGATATTTGTCTAAGCAACAAACCTGTATCAAGAAAGAAAATTCTTAATAATCCAAATCTCAACACCATATTTCCCCCCAACCCACACCTGAGACTCCTACATTCTTCAACTCTACTAAAATAATAGATGTTATTAAATAATGGTAATTGACTAGAATACTATCTCACAAGCTATTGACTGGTAGATTTAGGTCCTAAATCTATTGTGTTCCAACTTTTATAATCAATTTCCTGCTTTACACGGAACTTAGATCTATTTTTTATTTATATATATATATATATATATATATATATATATATATATATATATATATATATATATCTCTCTAATTATTTTATAAAAAAATTTATAACATAAGTATGTTATAAAATCACTACAAAAATAGCCATTTTGTTTCAACACACTCTGTGTCTTATCAAGTGATGGTGTTGAAACTCTCTCTCTATATATATATATATATATATATATATATATATCTCTCTATATATATATATATATATATATCTCTCTCTCTATATATATATATATATCTATATATATCTATATATCTAAATATATATCTATATATATCTAAATATATATCTATATATATATATATATCTTAGATCTATATGTGAGAAAATGGAGAGTGTTCTGTGTATATTTTTAATGCTTCAAGACTGACTGTTATTTTATTTTTATCAAATATTAGGAGGTAAAACTCTTTTTTAAGACCATCCATGCATTGTTCAGTTATGATATCACATTTTGTGTATATTATTCTATTTGGAATTAGCTTATGAAATAAATACCTACTGGACTTCATCTTTGTGGATTTTGGTACATTTCTCAATGCCAGAATATTGTTATCTATAGACATATATTATAACATATTAATAAACTTAATTGTCTGCATTGAATCAATCCTTGATTTGTTTAATAACCTCAACTTTTCTTTATATTATGGAATTTATTTGCAATATTAATTATCATCCTGGAGTAATAATTTATGATTGTTGATTTGTTTGATAAGCTAAGACAAAACAATTCTAATTAGATTAAAAAACACACAAATACAATAGCAGAAAAAGTCATAGCAATAACTTCTTACAAACAAATACTAAAAAAAAAAATTCTTAATTTTTTGCCATTATTTTCTTTTTACAACACAAAATAGTCATCATTCCTTTTGTATATAATATTTTAAAATCATTCACATTAACTGGAAATGAGTGGTTTTTCACTTACTCTTAAAAATTATGAGAAAAATCAACTTTTTAGGTAAGATAATGAACTATGTTTTAGATATGAGTATGTCAGCAGAATTTTGCTAATACCATTTCCTAATTATTAAAGACTAAATCAAACTCATTTTTTTTAAATTGAATCGAGTGCAGTTAATATTAAAAAGATAACTAAGTTGATTTCTCAATTTCTGTTTTTATCAGAAGTTCATTTTTAGAATAATCTCTGTATAATTCTTTAATGTCTGGAAAAGACTTATACCAAATCTATACCAATTACCTACCTTCTGTTAAGAAAAGAATGCGAGTGTTTCTTGTTTTGGTTTTTGAAAATCTTATCTGAAATGAAAAATAAGAAACTGCAATAAAAATTCCAATTCTGCAAAAATATACAATAAAGCAACTGTATAAACACTGATGTCGTGGTGAACAGACATGTTTTTTTCATTGCTCAAAGAAAGCGATGTTGTATTTTAAAGGAAAGTCTTGATTATTTTTAATTATCCATTATTCTTATATTTTTCTTTGTTTATTCATTATTCATTATGTTAGTATGCATTTATAGTATTTAATATACATATTTTCATAATCTTTTATACATATTTTTTTATTTTTAAGATAAGTTGTGGTATACAACAAATTTTTATTTTAAAATAACTGTTGTTTAGCAAGTGTAATTTATTAAGAATATCCCGCTAAGAGTTATTAAGAACATTTGATACATTGTATTTGTTAAATTAATTATATAGTGGCATGAATAAATCTATTTATATTTAAGCATAACATTTCTTTGTTTTTTTACAAAAGTGGTCATAATTTTTGAAATTGGATGAAAGCATTTAGAGTTGTAATGCTTATTTTCTTTATCTTTGACTATTGGCTCATTATCACCGATTTCTTTATCTATTATTTATAGTCAAAAATTCTTTTAATAACATTTGGTATGAATTTTATTCTTTTACATTTTCTTATTTATTAATTGTAAAGTAACATACTTTCAAATTTGTTGGAAAATGCATTTCCAGTTAAAACGTTATTTTGTTTCTCTTACTGCTAGTCAATTTGTTTTATTATTTATCTTTCAAATATTTTAAAAACAACAACAACAATAATAATAATAATAATAAAAATAATGATATTCTCACATATTTGATAATAATTTTATACTTTTTTTATTTATATTATTATTATTTTAAAAGTATAGGTAGCAAGATATTTGGTAGATTTGATAAACTGTTTACTCTAACATCCCATGTACTTTATATATATTTTATATGTGTAGGGAGCACTGGGCAGAAGTAGTACCTTTATTGCTCGGCTGCTGTACCTTATTATTAAGGTGGATAGGCAACACTGGTCTTCACCCATCTCCTAAATCTCTCACATGTTGGCTCCAAGCACCACACCCCAGTAAACCGCTTCAGCAAGCAGGCTAAGCCATGTGAAGGGATAGTGTTTGCACTGCACTGCTAGTTAGA